TACCATGAATTTTACCCTTATCTTTCTAAGTTTGAAGCAGTCTATTATTAGTTGGTATCGCCTTGTCTTCCTCTCCATTAGAAGGTTCTATACCTACACCGTTTATTCCCTCTTTTATTGTTCTGATGTTGTTGTCATTTACAGATTAACTGCTCTGATTCCCTGTTGTATTTCTTTTGGTTTTGGATAGTCTTTGAGAGTTCGTGTCCTAGATTGGTATCTCGCAGGTATGATCCTGCTTCCTAGATTCAGCCTGTGAGCTGAAGTTGTTGGTTCTCTGATCAAAGGACTCCCTTTAACATTTCTTGTAAGTTTGGTTTGATTTTTACATATTCCCTTAATTTCTGTTTATCTGGAAATGTTCTAATTTCGCCATCATCTATGAACGAGAGTTTTGCAGGATGTTTTATTCTTGGCTGGCAATTTTTTTTGTTTCAAGGTTTTATATATGCCATCCCATTGCCTTCTTGCCTGCATGGTTTCTGTCAAATAATCTGAGCTTAGACTTATTGTTTCTTCTCTGTATGTGACTTCTCATTTTTCATGAGCTGCTCTCAGGATTCTTTGTCTTTGGTTTTGGCGAGTGTGATTATGATATGCCTTGGTGATTTTCTTTTGGGGTCTATCCTATATGGGGTTCGTTGAGCTTCTTAGATGACCAGCTTTTTATCTTTCATGATATTGGGGATGTTTTCTATCACCAGTTCTTCAATGATCCTCTCTGTGTTTTCTGTTTTCTTCCCCTGTTCTAGAACTCCAATCACTAGAAAATTTTTGCTTTTGATTGTATCCCACACAATTCTCAGGGTATCTTCACTTTTCTTTATTCTTTTTTCTGAGTTTTCCTCAAACAGAGTTGTATCCAAGTGTTTGTCTTCAATTCTGCTGATCCTGTCTTCTACTGTTTCAAATCTGCTCCTCAGCCCTTCTATGACACTGTCCATTTCTGAAATCTTGTTGTTCATCTCTTGGATCTCTGATTGTTGTTTTTGTATAATTTCTAGTTGTGAATTTATTTTGGCATTTTGTTCCTGCCATATTTTCCTGAATTCTTCCATTTTTTGGTCTGTATTTTCCATGAATTTGTCTGCCTTTTGCATGAATTTGTCTATTTTTTCCTCATTTTTGTCTGTCTTTTGCTTCAACTCTTGGATAATTCTGAGTATTAGAGATTTTAATTCTCTATCCGGTGGGTCTAGTTGCTTTTCTTGTACTGGAATGTCACCTTGTGTTTTTCTTTGGACACCTACTGGAACCATTCTGTCCTGTTTTTGTAAATGTTTTGATGTTGTCTGCTGTCTTCGGGGCATTCAGTAGTTATTTTTCTCATTTATTGATTGTAGATTTGTTTGTTTTGTCCCTTTTTTAAATTTGGCTATGTCTGAGCATGCAGGCTGTGTGTTCTTTGTTGTTTGGTTAACTTTGGGCAGGATTCTTCTCACCTCCTTCTCCAATTGGCAAGGTCAGTTGCTCAGATATGGTACAGCAGGGCAGGTCTAGCTGAAGAGGAGTTGCTGGGATGGGTTGTTTGTGGCACTTACGGCAGCCACCAGGGTGGGTTGGTAATCAGTTCAAGGCAGGTTCTGGTAGGCCGTGCCTGTGCTGCTTGGTGGTGTGATGTTAAGTGCGTGGTGTAGGTAGGCAGGATGGAGGGGGGAGATTGTGATGTGTGGAGCTAAAATGGGTATGGGAGAAAGGAGAGAGGAACAGGAGCCAAAAACATACAAACAAAAAAGAGTGCTGGGAGTTTGCCTTTGGAGTGGAGAGATGAGAAAATATGAAATGGAGAAAAACAAAAAGGGGAATTAGAAGAAAAAAAAGAATGAATAAATAAAAATTAGGGAAAAAAAAAAAAAAAGAACAGCAAAGCTCCCAGGGACCCCACTGGTCCAGCTACGAGGTCTGGGGAAGTTGTTCCCAGGTGTTGAAGTACAGCCTGGCTAGGAGTCTCAGAGGTATTCAGCACCAGATATTCAGGGGACTTGAAGAGAAGAAAGGTATAGAGAGACAAGAAACTGAGTAATGAAGAAAGACAAAAAGGGAAAAAGAGGGAAAAGAAAGCAAAACAAATTTAAAAAAAGAACAAGACAACTTCCCCCCAAAACATAAAAAAAAAACCCATAATAATATACATGCTCTCAGGGATCCCTCTGCGTGTTTGCATAAGCTGAGGTTGTATGTCCCAAGGCACACAGCACTGGCCTGCCAGAATGGGCTCCCAACTTGAGAAAAGAAAAAGAAAACAAACAAAAAATTCAAAACAGCAAACAAAGTTCTGGAATCCCACCAGTGTGGCAGCCCAGACCGGGAAGCAGTTGCACACTTGAATGGAGCTCCAAAACCCCTCAGGAAGAAGCAAAGATGGTGCACGGAGCCAGGTATTTGAGTGAAAGGAGGCGGAGGTGGTGAGAGGTAAGGACGAAATCAAAAGAAGTAGAAAAAAGCAACACCAGCAGCCAACAAATGGAACTCAGGGAGTTGGCCAGCGTGAGCAGATGGAATCCAAGCAGCTGGTGCTTCCCGGCGAAGAGACTGTGGCCACAGGAAGCAGAGGAGGCTGAGTGGGGGTGAAGAAGGGTGGGGGGTGGGAAAGCGTATATGGCCGGTTACCAGTTGTTCTGTCTGTCTCCTGCTGGAAGTTCCGTGAGGCTGCTTTCTTGTACCCCTATTTGCTGGTATCTGACAGGAGTCCAAGATGGCAGATCTGTGCTGTGTTAGCTGATAGGGGACCTCTCCATGTATGTCTCCTTGCTCTCTGTTCTCTGACAGTGTCTTATTCCATTTGGTGCTTGGCTGAGTTCTTATCTCTTGAATTGATGTTTAGGGTCTCAGGATTGCTGTTTTCTCTGTTTGGCTCAGTTTTCAGATCTTTGCTGTGGAGGGACAGCGTGGTGCTTCTGCCTAGAGCACCATGTTGCTGGAAGTCGAAATATTCTTTTTGATGATGAATATGATGCCATTCCTCTTTGATTTGTCATTCCCAACATAGTAGAAGCTATGATTGTCGGATTCATAATGTTGTATACCAGTCCATTTCAGCTCACTAAGGATATCGATCTATGCGTTCCACTTTGTTTTTGATGACTTCCAATTTGCCTAGATTCATACTACATACATAGCACATTCTGATTATTAATTAATATTTGCAGCTGTTTCTTCTCATTTTGAGTCATACCACATCAGCAAATGAAGGTCCTGAAAACTTGACTCCATCCTCGTCATTAAGGTCGACTCTACTTTGAGAAGGCACCTCTTCCCCAGTCATATTTTGAATGCCTTCCAACCTGAGAGGTGCTTCTTCCAACACTATATCAGACTGTCTTCTGCTGTTATTTGTAAGATTTTCACTAGCCAATTTTTTCAGAAGTAGACTGCCAGGTTCTTCTTCCTAGTCTATGTTAGTCTGGAAGCTCCACTGCAACTGGTCCACCAAGGGTTACCCTGCTGCTATTTGAAATACCGGTGGGAAAGCTTCCAGTATCACAGCAACATGCAAGCCACCACAGTACGATAAACTGACAGACACGTAATGGATGTTGTGGTAGATTGTGGCAAATAGTCCAGTTCCCCCCAATACTGCACCTCACTACAGAAGGGTTATTTATCCTCTCCAAGGTGAATTCAAGTATGGCCTACTGAAATGAGGGTGGAAGTGATGTGTGTCACTTCTAAGCAGAAGCTTCCAAAGAGGGAAATTGTGCTTTGCCTTGATCTCTTTTTCCTTGGCCATGAGATCACCCATGTTCTACACCAGGGCTGCCCCCTCAGTCTAGATGCCAGGGTGAACACAATGAGTATCAAACCACGGGTAAGTGGCACAAGCAAGAAGTAAACCTTTAGTGTTGTAAACCACTGAGATTGGGGAAGGGCTATTTGTTTTTTGTTGTTTTGTTTCTGTTTTTGGTGAAAATATACACATCAAAACATATACAAATTCAACAATTTCTACGTATACAGTTCAGTAACATTGGTTACATTTTTCAAGATGTACAACCATTCTTGCTATCCTTTCCAAATTTTTCCACCATCATTAACATAACTCACTATCCTCTATTCTTATCTAACATTTTGAGCTGCTTCTGCCAATTTGATCACTTATAGATAGATAATCCTTTAAAAGAGCACAATCCTCAAGGCAAACATTATTTACTAATTAAGCTGAACTATTGCTTGGTTTAAGGATGATTTCAAGGGATAGTTTTAGTTAAAGGTTTAAAGATTGTTTCAGGACAACAGTTTCAGGGGGTTATTCAGCTTCAGTGACTCCATAAAGTCTAGGTTCCATCATAATTTGAAATTCTGCCCTGCATTCCCCATTTTGATCAATAGAAGAGGGCTATTTGTTACTGCAGCATCATCGACCTTATTCTGATTGTCACAATGCCCTTAAGAGATATGTTAGGATGCTGCAAAGATGAGACCCAGAGCACATGGCACATCCAAGCAGCACCCAAACCCTCCTGCCAGAATCCGAGAAACTCAAAAATACAAAAATAAATGGTCAGGTAAGGGCAAGAATGTGAGTAGCCATTCAGTAGGATTTTGGGGCTATCTAGCAAAAGAGGAAATAACTACCCTTACCTGATGATTAAGGAGACAGTATAACACGAAGAGCAAAACTCCCTGCAGGACATTGATGATGATGAATATGTAGGCAATGACTAATCCAGCCGTCGTCCCCACTGCTTCAACCATAAAAAAACCAAGGATCCAAGAACAGCTCAGGATAAATAGCTGAGCAATGGTTTTAAATGTCATGACTCTGGAAAAAAAAAAGAGGACTAATAATAACTGCCAGTTATAAGACCCTTAAGAAATTCTTGGGCAGTGCAAACAGTTAAGTGCTCAGCTACTAACCAATAGGGTGGTGGTTTGAACCCACCTAGGGGTGTTTCAGGGGAAATGTCTGGCAATTTACTTCTGAAAGGTCATGGCCATTGAAAACCCTATAGAGCACAGTTTACTCTGATACACATGGGATCACCATGGGTCGGAATTGACTACATGGTAGCTGCTTTTTTTTTGTAATATATTCTATTATAATACATTTATTAGTTATTTAGAATACATTTATAGATTCTTTTTATTCTATTATAATGTATAAATTCAATATTATTTTATATAGTATATAATATAAATATATGTAAATAAAATAACATTATTAGAAGATTTAAACATAACATAAATATATAAAATATTTATATAAATATATATGTTGTTGTGGTTGTTGCTGTCAAGTCAATACCGACACATGGCGACCTCATGTGAGCAGAGTAAAACTGCCCCATAGGGTTTTCAAGGCTGTGACCTTTCAGAAGCTGGCCTGTCTTCCAAGGTGCCTCTAGGTGGATTGGAACTTCCAGGCCTTTGGTTAATAGCTGAACACTTAGCTGTCTGCATCACTCAGGGACTCCTTATATTATGCGTAACCTGTTGCTGTCGAGTGCATTCTAACTCATTTTTTAAGATGATTGTTTTTAATATTTGGGTCAAGCACCAATGAGAACAAAGTTACTTCAGTCAAGAAGAATGGAGTCTAGAAGTGAATTGACTATCAGGACAAATGGATGATGTTGACAATCTTGGCACTAATTTCGTATGAATACTATGTCACACAAAGGAGACACTCAATGGATATTTTCTTCATAAACAAATGAGGCAGTGCAATAAGCCAGTTGAAAAGCATAGTTTTTACTTATTCTACAAGTTCCCTTCACATACTCTTCCTCTAGTACCAGGAAAATCTATGCCATATTTTCTACAGGCATCTTCCTTCCCAGGCAGACTGGTCCTGCAGAAACACACCATAAGGACAACTAGGTGAGTACCACTGAATCTGTTGCTTTCTTACCTGGTGTTCCGAACTGTGGAAACTTCTTTACTGAGGGAAGAAACTTTGCTTTTCAAAATACACAGAATTATGAAGTAGAACACCAAGTTTATCTGTGGAAACAGCATGAAAAATGGAGTTAGAATTTTCTTTAGAGGCCACTACTTGCCATCTAATTTGACATGATCACCACTCATCTGCAGTTTGTATTGATGCCTATAAAATACTCAAGTTTAGATGTCAGGTTGTTGTTGGCTGCTGTCCAGCTGGCCCTCGACTCATGACAACCCCATGCATGATGGTATGAAATGCTGCCCAGTCCCTTGCCATCCCCATGATTGCTTGAAGATCAGACTGTAGTGATCTGTAGGGATTTTGTTGGCTTATTTCCAGAAGATTGTCGGGCCTTTCTTCCTAGTCCATCTTAGTCTGGAAGCTCAGCTGAAACCTGTTTAGCATCATAGCAACAAGGAAGCCTCCACTGGCAGTCAGGTGGTGGCTGCGCATGAGGTGCATTAGGCAGAAATAGAACCTCAGTCTCCCACATGGAAGGAGAGAATTCTACCACTAAGCCACCATCGCCCCCTTTAGATGTCAGGTAGCCAGGTTGGATTTGTAAGTCTGGAGTTGAAAAGAGAGGTCCAGGCTGGGTATATAAATTTGGGAGTTCTTAGGATATAGGCAATTACTGAAAGTCATAGACCTGAGGAGATCACAAGGGGGCGAGAGTAGGTAAAGAAGAGAGGAGGTTTATGGGTCAGCCCTGAGTGCTCTAATTTTGATGGGAGGAACCCCCAAAGGTGGCTGAACAGGAACAGTCAACACTGTAGGGCCCATGGGCCAAATCTGGTATCCATTCCATTGCTTGCTTTTGTAAATAAAATTTTAATGAAACACAACCACATCGGTTCGTTTACATGTTGTCTATGGCTGCTTTCTTATTACAATATACTTGCATGTTAACTTGGCTACCTGACATCTAAAGCCATCTGGGTGGCATAAACAGTTTAGGTTCAGCTGGTAACTGAATGGTTGGAGACTCGAACTCACCCAGCGACACTGTGGAAGAAAAGACCTGGCGATCTGTATCCCATAAAGATTACAGCCAAGAAAGCCCTATGGAACAGTTCTACTATAGGGTGAGTTTCCTTACCTTCAGCTCATTTCCACTTTAACAGATAAGAAACAACATTCTCTACACCTGATCAGCCCAGGTCTGTTGTTGCATGCCATCGAGTCAATTCTAACTCATAGCCATCCCGCATGACACAGTAGAACTACTCCACTGGGTTTCCTAGACTGTGATCTTTATGGGAGTAGATCACCACGTCTTTCTCCTGTGGAGCCACTGGATTAGAAGCCTTTGGTTAGCAGCCAGAGCACTTAACCCAGTGCCCCCAGGGCCCCGTAACCCAGCTCTAGCACACCAGTAAATATCTGCCCCTGGTTACCTACCAAGATAATGGTGGCCACCGGCCCCATGAAGCTCCAGATAAAGCTTTTATCAAGCTTCAGCCAGCAGCTGTTGAGAGAGAGAATGAAAAGTATTAGTTGGCTATTCCTCGGGTGAAGGAGACCAGTTACCAGTTGTCTTCAAGTTGATTTAATGTAGCCCCGGACATTAAACAGTGTGGGTTCAAATCCCAGCTTCCCTCCCACCCACTAGTTAGGCAAATTACCCAAACGTTGGTGCTGCAGCTGAATAAGTTGAGCTGTTGCTGCTGATAATACTTATATGCTTTGTTGATATAAGAGTTAAATGAGCCAAAAGACATTTTCGTTAGGTGTCGTGAAGTTGGCTCTCACAGTGACCCCGTGAACAACAGAATGGAACGTGCCCAGTCCTGCACCATCCTCACAATCATTGCTTTGTTCAAACCCATTGTTGAAGCCACTGTGTCAATCTATCTCATTGAGGTTCTTCCTCTTCTTTGCTGACACTCTACTTTACCAAACATGATGTCCTTCCAGTGTCTAGTCCCTCCTGATAACATATCCAAAGTATATGAGACAAAGTCTTGACATCCTTGCTTCTAAGGAGCATTCTGGCTGTACTTTTTCCAAGACAGATTTTATTCGTTCTTCTGGTAGTTTATGATGTATACAATATTCTTTGCCAATGCCACAATTCAAAAGCAAAGATGTCACTTTGATGACTAAGGTGCACCTGACACAAGCCATGGTCTTTTCAATCACCTCATATACATGTGAAAGCTAGTAGACATAAAGACCTTAAAATAGTGCCTAATATATTGTAAGCACTCACGACCATTAGGTATCATTACTTTCGGGACTTAACCACTATGGATTTTTTTTAAATATAAAGATATGGTGGTTTCAGAACACACTAAGCCAAGACCACTGAGTGTTTTTTACTGCCTCTTTATTCCCTACCTAAGACAACACTAAGCAATATTCAGACACCACCTTTCTATTTCTCAGCTCTCAGCTGAAGGTGGGATATTTTCTTCATACTTACAAGCAGCCCTACCACCACCAGTTGCCATAGAGTTGACCCTGCCTCCTGGTGCCCCCATATATGTCAGAGTAGAACTGTCCTCTACAGAGTTTTCAATGGCTGAGTTTTCAGAAGTATATTACCAGGCCTTTCATTTGAGGCACTTCCGGGTGAACTTGAACCTTCGGGAGAAGGTAGAGAGCTTGGATTCAGGATCTCCTAAGACTGTGAGTAATGCCAGGGGTCATTAGTTCAGGATCTGGATTTTCAGATGGAGTCAGATGTGGGTCCTAGTCTACCACCTGCAGGCTGTATGCCCTGAGCCTCAGTTTTCTTGAGTGTAAAACAGGGCCAACAGAATTGTTGGAAAGATTAAGTAATACAATGTGTGTAAAGTATTTGGTTAAAGTGTCTGGCAAGAGATAAAGCTCAATAAATGTAGTTGAAAATAGATGTACACGATTATTGATTGCAACATGATTCACAATAGCCAAAAGGTGAAAACAACCCAAGTGCCCATCAACAGATGAATGGATTAACAAAATGTGGTCCATCCATACAATGGAATATTATTCAACCATAAAGAAAAATGTCATTCTGATATGTGTTATGACATGGATGAACTTTGAAAACGTTACGCCTAATGAAATAAGTCAGTCACAAAAGGAAAAATATTGTATAATCCCACGTACACAATATATCTAAAATATGCAAGTATATAGAGGCCAAGTATATACAGGCCAAAGTTTGTTAGTGAATATCAGTGGCAAGAGGGTAGAGGAGAAATGGAGTCATTGCTTAGGGGACACTGATCTTCTGTTATGGATGATGGAAATTTTGGGAAATGGATAGTGGTGATGAACATAATGTCACTGAATTTTACATGTACAAAAGGTTGAAACAGCAAACGTTTTGTTTTATATATATATACGTAAACTTATACATGTTTGTATTTGCATTTTTATATTTCTATATTATATATACTGCATACATTAAAAATAAATGCTATTACATAGATGATTGTTATGAGAAAAACAGCAGTAATAATTTAAGTACAGCCACATAAAACACCAACACTCATTAAGCATATGTTGTTGTTAGGTGCCATTGAGTCAGTTCCAACTCATAGCTACCCTATGTACAACAGAACAAAACACTGCCCAGACCTACACCATCCTCACAATTGTTGTCATGCTTGAGCCCAGTGTTGTAGCCACTCTGTCAATCCATCTTGTTGAGGGTCTTCCTCTTCTTCGATGACCCTCTACTTCATCAAGCATGATGTCCTTCTCCAGGGACTGGTTCCTCCTGATAACATATCCAAAGTATATGAGACAAAGTTTTGCCATCCTTGCTTCTAATGACCATTCTAGCTGTACTTCTTCCAAGACAGATTTGTTCATTCTTTTGGCAATCCATGGTATATTAATATTCTTTGTTAACACCATAATTCAAAGGCATCAATTCTTCTGTCTTCGTTATAATTTCCAGCTTTTGTATGCGTATGAGGCTATTGAAAACACCATGGATTGGGTCAGGCGCACCTTAGTCCTTAAAGTGGCATCTTTGCTTTTTATCACTTTAAAGAGATCTTTTGCAGCAGATTTGCCTAATGCAATGTGTCTTTTGATTTCTTGACTACTGCTTCCCTGGGTGTTGATTGTGGATCCAAGTAAAATGAAACCCTTGACAACTTCAGTCTTCTCTCCATTTATTATGATGTAGCTTATTAGTCCAGTTGTGACGTTTTTTGTTTTCTTTATGTTGAGGTGTAATCCATACTGAAAGCTGTGGTCTTTGATCTTCATAGGTAAGTGCTTCAAGTCCTCTTCACTTTCAGCAAAGTTGTGCCATCTGCATACTGCAGGTTGTTGATGAGGCTTCCTCCAATCCTGATATCACATTCTTTTTCTTATAGTTCAGATTCTCATATTATTTGCTCAACATACAGATTGAATAAGTCTGGTGAAAAGATACAACGCTCATGCACACCTTTCTTGACTTTAAACGCAGTATCCTCTTGTTCTGTTCGAACGACTGCCTCTTTATCTATGTATAGGTTCCATATGAGCACAACTAAGTGTTCTTCAATTCCCATTTTTCACAGTGTTATCCTTAATTTGTTATGATCCACACAGTCTAATGTCTTCGCACAGTCAATAAAACACAGGTAAACATCTTTCTGGTATTCAAGGCATTATTGAGCTGAAATGGATTGATTTTGGCCATTTTGAATCAAACAATCATACAGTGTACTATGCTGGGAATGACAAATTGGAGAGAAATGGTGTCGCCTTCACGGTCAATAATAACATTTGTATATCTATCCTGAAGTGCAACGCTGTCAGTGATAGGATAATATCTATATGCTTACAAGAAAGACCAGTTAATACGACTGTTATTCAAAATTACACACCAATCACTAAGGTCAAAGATGAAGAAATTGAAGATTTTACCAACTTATAGCAGTCTGAAATTGATCAAACATGCAACCAAGATGCATTGGTAATTACTGGCGATTGGAAATCAAAAGTTGAAAACAAAGAAGGATTGGTGGTTGGGAAATCTGGCCTCAGTGACCCAAACAACACCGGAGATCACATGATAGAATTTTGCAAGACCAATGATTTCTTCATTGAAAACACCTTATTTCAACAACATAAATGGCGATTATACACGTGCACCTCGCCAGATGGAATACACAGGAATCAAATTGACTACATCTGTGGAAAGAGACGATGGAAAAACTCAGCATCAGTCAAAACAAGGCCAGGGGTTGACTGTGGAACAGACTATCAATTGCTTATATGCAAGTTCAAGTTGAAGGTGAAGAAAATTAGAACAAGTCCATGAAAGCCAAAGTAAGACCTTGAGTACATCTCACCTGAATTTAGAAACCATCTCAAGAATAGATTTGATGCATTGAACACTAATGACCGAAGATCAGTCTAGTTGTGGAATGACATCAAGGACATCATACATGAAGAAAACGAGGTCATTAAAAAAACATGCAAGAAAGAAAAGACTAAAATAGATGTCAGAAGAGACTCTGAAACTTGCTCTTGAAAGTCGAGTAGCTAAAGTGAAAGGAAGAAATGATGAAGTAAAAGAGCTGAACAGAAGATTTCAAAGTGCAGCTCGAGAAGACAAAGTAAAGTATTATTATGAAATGTGCAAAGACGTGGAGATAGAAAACCAAAAGGGAAGAATATGCTCAGCATTTCTCAAGTTGAAAGAACTGAAGAAAAAATTCAAACCTTTAGTGGCAACACTGAAAGATTCTATGGGGAAAATATTAAACTATGCAGGAAGCATCAAAAGAAGATGGAAGGAATACACAGAGTCACTGTACCAAAAAGAATTGGTTGATGTTTAACCATTTCTGCATTTCAGGAGGTAGCATGTGATCAAGAACCTATGGTATTGAAGGAGAAGGTCCAAGCTGCACTAAAGGCATTGGTGAAAAACAAGCCTCCAGGAAGACAGAATACCAATTGAGATGTTTCAACAAATGGATACAGAGCTGGAAGCCCTCACACATCTATGCTAAGAAATTTAGAAGACAGCTAGCTGACCATCCAACTGGAAGAGATTCATATTTGTATCCATTCCAAAGAACTGTGATCCAACTGAATGTGAAAATTATCAAACAATATCATTAATATTTGTACAATTAAGCATATAGCATGTGTCAAGTACTGTGTTACCCAAATACTTTGTATTTTGGCATGGCTTTTGTTGGCAAAGGTAGTATAACTTATTCTGAAAGGGGACCTGACAGTATGAATCTGGTAAAAGTAAGAATTAAGCAATCTGCAACCCTGAGTTGGCAGAAAAACTCCCACATTTGTGTTCTATTCAAGGGTTTGTAAACTATGGCCAGTGAGCCAACTCCAGTCCATTGCTTGTTTTTGTAAATAAAGTTTTATTGGCACACAACCACACCCATACATTCACATATTGTCTGTGGCTGCTTTCACACTACACTGGCAGAACTGAGTACTTGCAACAGAGACTACATGACCCACAAAGCCAAAAACACCTATTATCTGGCCTTTTTCAGAAAAAGTTTGCCTATTTCTGATCTAACCTACTATTATATCTGCCACATCTTTCTGGTACACAGGTTCAATTTCAAGACAGGGCAACTCTTTGGCTTCAAGGACAGCACCATACATTTTTTTTTTAACACATGCACATCTACTTCCTAACCCAAACCCTGTTGCCAAAATATTAACTTCTTTAACTAACTGTTGTATACAAATCTTTTCAAACTTCTTTGTTGTTGTTAATTGTCAAGTTGGCTCTGATTCATGACAACTCCATGTACAGTAGAATGAAATGTTGCCCGGTCCTGTGCTGTCTTCATGATCGTTGGTAAATCTGAGTCCATTGTTGTGGCTATTGTGTATGTTGAGTGCCTTCCAACATAGGGGGCTCATCTTACAGCACTATTATCAGTCAATGCTCTGTTTTAATTCATGTTTTCATTGGCTAATTTTCAGAAGTAGATTGCCAGGCCTTTCTTCTTCACCTGTCTTAGTCTGCAAGCTCTGCTAAACCTGTCCACCATGGGTGACCCTACCGGCATTTGAAATACCAGTAGCATAGCTTCCAGCATCACAGCAACACACAAGCCACCACAGTACCACAAACTGGCAGTCAGGTGGTGGTGGAACTTCTTTACAGAGGCAGTAAGACATGCTATTAAGAGCACGACCTTGCGAATGCCAACTTCCCTTTTCAGCTACCACCTTGGGGAAGTTTATTAAATGGACTGAGTCCTGTGCTAACTTCATAAGATCATGGAAGCATGACATGAGACACTACATACATGAAGCACTGTCTCTGGTGCCTTGGAGGTTTTCCATAGTTGTTACTATTACTGTTATTGTTTACATTTATGAGGTCACCCTCAACCTATTCAACCTACTCTTTCAGAATCATACAGAACATGTAGCTCACAGGTTCTTAATGTGGGGACATAGGTTTCCTTTACCTGTCCCCGAATTTCCTGAACTTGTATTCAAAATTATGTACATAGATATATTTGGCTACTAATCCTAAAATTGGCTGTTTGAACCCATCTAACTGTGTCATGGAAGAAAGCCCTGGTGATCTGCTTCTGTAAAGATTGTTGTTGTTGGGTGCTGTGGAGTAGATTCTGACTCATAGTGACCCCAATGTGAGGGAGTAGAACTACTGTATAGGGTTTTCTAGGCTATAATATTTATAGCAAGACTCCAGGAATTGACAGAACACCAATTTCAACAAACGGATGCAGCACTGGAAGTGCTCACTCATTTCGTCCAAGAAATTTGGAAGACAGCTACCTGGCCAGCCGACTGGAAGAGATCCATATTTATGCCTATTCCAAAGAAAGGTGATCCAACCAAATGTGGAAATATCGAACAACATCATTAATATTACACACAAGTAAGATTTTGCTGAAGATCATTCAAAAGTGGTTGCAGCAGCACATTGACAGGGAAATGCCAGAAATGCAAGCAGGATTCAGAGGAGGACTTTGAGTGAGGAACATCACTGCTGATGTCAGATGGATCTTGGCTGAAAGCAGAGATGTTTACGTGTGTTTTAGTGACTATGCAAAGGCATTCGACTGTGTAGATAACATTGAGAAAAATAGGAATTCCAGAACAACTTAATTGTGCTCATGAGGAACCTGTACGTAGACCAAGAGGCAGTCATTCCAACAGAACAAGGGGATATTGCATGGTTTAAAGTCAGGAAGGGTGTGTGTCGGGGTTGTATCCGTTCACCATACTTATTCAATCTGTATGCTGAGCAAATAGTTCGAGTAGCTGGACTATATGAAGAAGAACAGGGCATAAGGACTGGAGAAAGACTCATTAATTACCTGTGTTATGCACATCACACTACCTTACTTGCTGAAAGTGAAGAGGACTTGTAGCACTTACTGATGAAGATCAAAGACCACAGCCTATAGTATGGATTACATCTCTACATAAAGAAAACAAAAATCCTCACAACTGGACCAATAAGCAACATCATGATAAACAGAGAAAAGACTGAAGTTGTCAAGGATTTCATTTTACTTGGATCCACAATCAACACCCAATGGAAGCAGCAGTCAAGAAATCAAACAACTCATTGCACTTGGCAAATCTGCTGCAAAAGACCTCTTTAAAGTGTTAGAAAGCCAAGATGTCACCTTGAAGCCTAAGATGCACCTGACCCAATCCATGGAGTTTTCAATAGCCTCATATGGATGTGAAAGCTGGAAGATGAATAAGGAAGACTGAAGAAGAATTGACGCCTTTGAGTTGTGGCATTAGCGAAGAATATTGAATATACCATGGACTGCCAAAAGAACAAATAAATCTGTCTTGGAAGAAGCAAGGATGGTGAGACTCCACCTCACATACTTTGAACATGTTATCAAGAGGGGATCAGTACCTGGAGAAGGACATCATGTTAGTAGAAGGTCAGTGAAAAACAGGAAGACCCTCAAAATGATGGATTGACACAGTGGCTGCAGCAATGGGCTCAAGCATAACAACGATTGTGAGGATGGCATAGGACTGGGCGGTGTTTCATTCTGTTGTACATAGGGTCGCTATGAGTTGGAACCGACTCGAAGGCACCTTTACTGGAGCAGATCACAGGTCTATCTCCCACATAGCAATTTGATGTGTTTGAACCACCAACCTTTTGGTTAGTATCAAAGTGTTTAACTGTTATGCCACCAAGGCTCCTTTCCATAAAGATTGCAGCCAAGAAAACCCTATGGAGCAGCTCCACTTTATAACATGGCATCATCTTGAATCAAATTCTCCTCAATGTCAGTGGGTTTAGGTTTTTTTTTTGTTCATGTTTATCTGAGGGAAGAGGCTCTTGCTTTCACCAAATTATCAAAGGTAATTTGGATCCAACTCCAAAGATGCTGAAAACCATTGCTTTTGGGATTTCTAAGAGAACACTGAATTCAGGCTTAAGGAAGGACTGGTTTGAAATATAATTAACAATCAGAAAACGGATTTTAAAAAACATTTTGGTTGCAGATCATATAATAGTTAGGTGCTCGGTTGCTAAACAAAAGGTGAGTGGTTCAAACTCACTGTGCAGCACTGCAGAAGAAAGGCCTGGCTATCTGCTTCTGTAAAGATTACATCAAGAAAACCCTATAGAGCTGTTCTACTCTGTGGCACACTGGGTCGCTATGAGTCAGAACAACTTGATGGCAACGGATTTGGTTTTGGTTTCTTGCTATGGACACATTCCCACCATAAACGCACACATCATACTTACTGAGTATTTGTTCCATAATTTTTGTGTCCAACGCCTGCTGACACAGCCACAATCACAGCTGGGATCCCATAGCCAAAAGGGTACATGAAATTCTTCTTGAATCTGCCTTCACTGGTGTAGTTGGACACCTTGAAGTTCCTTACGGTCAGGAAGAGTTGCAGGGCTTCCAGAAGCATCCATGTGAAGGAGGCCAGGTAGAGGTAGTGCAGCGCCCCGGCAATGACTGAGCACAGCACCTGGTGGGGCGGATGGTGGAGAGCGTGGATCAGATACTAAGCACTCAGCTGCTAACTGAAAGGTTGGCGATTCAACCCACCAGCTGCTCTGAAGGAGAAAGATGTGGCATTCTGATTCTGTAAAGATAACAGCCTTGGAAACCCTATGGGGCAGTCCTACTTTGTCCTATAGGGTCTCTATGTCTTCTTTTCCTAGTGCTGCTGTAACAGAAATTCAACAAGTAGCTGTCTTTAAGGAACAGAAATTTATTTTCTCACAATTTAGGAGCCTAGAAGTCCAAATTCAGGGTACTGGCTATAGCAGAAGACTCTTTTGGCTCTGGGAGAAGATCCTTATCTCAGCTTCTCTAGCCCCAGTATTCCTTAGTTCCTTGACCAACTTCACGTGGCACCTGTCTCCCCCATTTGTGTTTACTTGTCTCTGTGTCTATGCTGCTCTTTATATAACTCAGAAATGGAAAACCCTATGGAGCACAGTTCTACTCTGCACACGTGGGGTCCCCAAGAATCGGAAAACTCGAGGGCTACTAACAACAACTACACTGATATAGCCTCATTAATATAACAAAGAAAACGATATTCCCAAATGAGATCGCATCCAGAGGTGTAGGGGTTATGATTCTGCCACATATTTTGGGGGGACACAATTCAATCCATAACACACCTCGATCTCTCCTGGGCTACAAACTCTTATTTCCAATGGTCTCTTGGCTGTCTCCACGCCCGTGTCTGATAAGCACCTCCAGTTTAGCAGATTTAAACTTGAATTCACCATTTCTTCTGCCCCAAACCCCTTTTTCCTTCTCTAGCTTGCTTAATGACATCAGCATCCCTCTACAGTCTCCCAAACAAGAAACCTCAGAGTCACTCTTATGTCTGCTTTCTCCCACACCCACGACTTCCACATCCACTTGAGCCCTGAAGTCCTGCCAGTTCCACTTCACAAACGTTTCTTAAATCAGACCCACTTCCTCTTCTTGGTTCATATTTTCATTAACATTTACCATCACTCTTCTTTCTGCTGCTAGCTTCATCTCAATCCAGCTTACCTCCACTAGGCTTTGAAAGTCATATGGTATTTGTCACATACACAGTTCTACTCAGACACACATGGGGTTGCCATGAGTTGGGGTCGCCATGAGTCAGAGTCGACTCAACAGCAACTGGATTTTTATGCTGCCTCTCAGGTGGGAAAATAGTGTTTTCATAACCTTCTGGCTGTGCGCTCATAGTCTATTAAGGCTAAAAGGAGATACAGAGAGCATCTAGTTCTAATTTTCCCAGAAATATTGGTGACCACAATCATGATGAAGATAAAAGCAAAAATTTTTTGCTAAGTGATGAATCCATACTCTTTATAAGTTTTATCTTGCTAAGTCCTTACTAGACCCTAATGACTAGGACCTTATTTTACACAGGAAATTTGAAAGGGAAAGTCACTTCAACAAGGTTATATAGCAGGTAAGATGAACAGTTTGACACACATGGGGCTGCCATGAGTCGAAATCGACTCTATGGCAACCATTATTTTTTAAGATGAGGAGTTGAGATTCATGTGCAGATCAATGTGGCAAAGTCGCTGTCCATAAAAAAAAAAAAAAAAAAAAAGCCTACTCTCATTCCAGAGAGAACATTGATGGTTCAGTGGTAGAAATTTCACCTTCCATGTGGGAGAACTGGGTTTGATTCTTGGCCAATGCACCTCATGCACAGCCATCACCATCTATCAGTACAGGCTTGCATATTACTATGATGCTGAACAGGTTTCAGCGGAGCTTCCACACTAAGAGAGACTGGGAAGAAAGTTCTGGCTATCGACTTCCAAAAATCAGTCAGTGAAAACACTATGGATCATAATGGGCTGATCTGGAACCAATCATGAGGATGGCTTAGGACTGGACAGAGTTCTGTTGTGTCTGGGGTTACCATGAGTTGGGGACCAACTGGACAGCAGCTAACAACAACAACAACAAAAACCAACAATCTCCCATCCCAGAGTATAGGACTATTACTAGAAAGTAGCTGCCCAGCCAAGGACTACATTTCCCAGCCTCCATTGCAGTTAGGTATGACCATGTGACTGAGTTCTAGCCAATAGAATGTGAGAGAATAAGCACATATAAACCGCCCTCATGTTGCTCCACCATGCTCTTTTTTCATGCACTTTACCCAAATGGAAAGGACCCAGGGATGACCTTGGTAGAGCCTTCATTAGCCTGACAGTGGAGAATAACTGATACATAAGTAAAAAAATTAACTACTATTGTGCTAAGGGGTGTCCCTGAGTGGTGCAATGATTGAGCACTTGGCTACTAACCAAAAGGTTAGTGGTACAAATCCACCTACAGGTGCCTCAGAAGAAAGACCTGGTGATCTACTTCTGTAAGATCACAGCCATTGAAAACCCTATGGAGCACATTTATACTCTGAAACACATGAGGTTGCTGTATGTCAAAATCACCTTGACAGCAACTTTTATTGTGCTAAGCCACTGACATTTTAGAGTTTATTTGCTATAGCAGCTAATGTTACCTTAACTAATACCATCAGTCTGACCCTCAGTCACTTTGCTAAATGGCCTCTCAGAAAGTGCGGGTCTTGTTCAAAGTTAAACAGGAACAGAGCTGAAATGTGGAACTCTGCTTTTCCCCCATGCCCTCACTCCTAATTTTTGCGTCTCCTCCTCATCTTTTCTCAGGTCAAGATGTTGAGATTTGATTATGACAAGGAGGTAATTTGGTTGAAAAATCCTACCTCAGGCTCAGTTTTATCAATCCCCACTAGAAATAGCAGGTGGGCCAGGAAGAGGCAGAATGAGAGCTGCAGGTGGAGCGAGGTGCTAGTGTTCTGGATGGACCGGCACAGAAGGAAGGTGAAGGCTGCCAGGAGGAGGCACAGCAGAGAGAGGCTCAGCCCCACGCAGGTGATCACAGCCAACGCCGAATCTGCCTGTGAAACATGATAGAAGAAATCTGTTACATTTCTTAACTCAGCAGTTATGGCTCTGACGGAGAGTCCGATGTGGTTGGTTCCCAACTCAAGGGTCCCTTGAGCAAATTACTTAACCTTTCTGAGACTTGGTGTTCCCACCGTCAAAATGAAGGGAATAGTGGTGCTTGACTGCTAACTGTAAAGGTTGGTGGTTTGAACTGACCCAGTGGCTCCATGGGAGAAAGACCTGGTGATCTGCTCCTGTAAAGATTACAGCCTAGAAAACCCTACAGGGCGGTTCTACTCCATCTCATGGGGTCTCTATGAGTAGAATTGACTTGACGGCACCTAACAACAACCATGCAAAACTGTTGAAAAACTGAAAAGACTAGACTAGAGCTGTCCAATAGAAATATCACGTGAGCCACATAGGTAAATTAAATTTTCAAGCAGCCACGTTAACAAATGATGTAAAAAGCAACAGGTAAAATTAATGTCCTAGTATATTTTATTTGACCTAATATGTTCAAAGTGTTATCAGTTCAAAACCCGTACATCAATTTTCACTGCAACACTGTTCACAATAGCTTAAAGGCAGAAACAACCGAAATGTCCATCAACAGATGAATAGATAAACAAAATGTAGTCCATCCATACAATGGAGTATTACTCAACCATAAAGAGAAATGAAGTCCTGATGCATGCCACAACATGGATGAAACTTGAAAACATGTTGAGTGAAATAATTCAGTCACAAAAGGACAAATACTATATGAGCTCATTTATATTAAATGGACAAATTTATAGAAAACCACATGCATCTGTCAGTTTGTCGTACTTGAGAATGACCTTGAGTATACCCCACCTGAATTTAGAGACCATCTCAAGAGTAGATTTCATGCACTGAACACTAATGACTGAAGACCAGACCAGTTGTGGAATGACATCAAGGACATCAGACATGAGGGAAGCAAGGGGTCATTAAAAAGACAGCAAAGGAAGAAAAGGCCAAAACTAATGTCAGAAGAGACTCTGAAATTTGCCTTTGAAGGTCGAGTAGCTGAAGAGAATTGAAGAAATGATGAAGTAAAAGAGCCGAACAGAAGATTTCAAAGGGCAGCTCGAGAAGACAAAATGAAGTTTTATAATGACATGTGCAAACATCTGGAGTTAGAAAACCAAGAGGGAAGAACATGCTCAGCATTTCTTAAGCTAAAAGAAAGGAAGAAAAAAATTCAAGACTCAGGTTGAAATTTTGAAGGATGTTATAGACAAAATATTAAACAATGCCAGAAGTGCCAAAAGAAGTTGCAAGGAGTACACAGAGACACTGTACCAAAAAGAACTGGTTGACATTCAACCATTTCAGGAGGTAGCATATGATCAAGAACTGTGGTATTGAAGAAAGAAGTCCATGCTGTACTGAAGAAAGAAGTCTAAACTGCACTAAAGGCATTGGCGAAAAACAAGTCTCCAGGAATTAATGGAATACCAACTGAGATGTCTCACCAAAGGAATTCAGTTCTGGAAGTGCTCACTCATCTATGCCAAGAAATGTGGAAGACAGCTTACCTGGCCAACTGACTGGAAGAAATCCATATTTGTACCCATTCTAAAGAAAGGTGATCCAACAGAATACTGAAATTATCGAACTGTATCATTAATATCACATACAAATAAAATTATGCTGAAGATCATTCAAAAGCAGTAGCAACAGTATATCAACAGAGAACTGCCAGAAATTCAAGCTGGATTCAAAAGAGGACATAGAATGAGGGATATCGCTGCTGATGTCAGTTGGATCCTGGCTGAAAGCAGAGAATACCAGAGGATGTTTACCTGTGTTTGTTGGCTATGCAAAGGCATTCGACGGTGTGGATCATAACAAATTATGGATAACATTGCAAAGAATGGGAATTCTGAAATGCTTAATTGTGCTCATGAGGAAGCTGTACTTAGACCAAGAAGCAGTTATTGTTATCCTTTTCTGAATCATTCCACCACCATTAACTGAAACTCAATTCCCCCTAAGCATTAACAACTTGTGATATACAGATGACACAACGTTGCTTACTTAAAGTGAAGAGGACTTGAAACACTTACTGATGAAGGTCTAAGACTACAGCCTTCAGTATGGATTAACTTCAACACAAAGAAAACAAAATTCCTCACAACTAGACCAATAAGCAACATCATGATAAACAGAGAAAAGATTGAAATTGTCAAGGATTTCATTTTACTTGGATCCACAGTCAACACTCATGGAAGCAGAAGTCAAGAAATCAAACAACAGAGAGACAGGGCCAAGATGGTGGAGTAATCAGATGGCTTCCTATGTCCCTCTTACAACAAAGGCCTCAAAAAACAAGTGAATTGATTGTATATGAATATCTAGGAGCCCTTAACAAGGCAAAGTTGAGGAATCGGACTGAGCGACGGAGGGAGAGAGAGACGGTTCGGAATCAGTGAGGAATTGCCTGATCTGACCCAGCGGGAGCCACAGCCTTTCAGCCTGGATCAGCTCAGGGTGCCCAGTGAGGTGGGCATACAGCTCCGCTTGCTCACTCAGGAGGCACTTTCCACATTGAGAGAGATCCGGCAGCACAGATTCTACTTGGACACTTCGAACCAGTGAAAAGCAGCATCCAAGTGGCTAAAGATAAGTACATGCATGTGGCCTTTCGTGGGGATTTAAAAAAAAAAAATTTGGGAAATACTTCTCTCCCATTTACCTCTTCCCTCCCCGCTCTGCACCAGGTCTGGCCGACTTCATCAATCTGTGAGTCCTCTGGGCCAGAAGTAGATCCCATAAGGCACCCTGACACATTCTCCTGGTTTGGCAAGGGAACAAATTAACAAACAGGGAAAAAATAAGCTACCGGCTCCCCTAAGCCAGGAACTCAGGGTTGGCATAGCTCCTTTGCCTAGGCACAGACGTAAGAGGTCTGCAGACTTTGAGTGCCTTCCACCCCTGTATAGACTTTTGTGGACCCATCTCAACAGTGTAAGTCCTCACTACCACTGTACAACAGGGTAAATACCTGAAGTCTAACTTCAACTGTTTCAGCTGTGAAGTTGGTGATGCTTGACACTGCGCTGCCCTTTAAGCAGGCATCTTACCTGTCCACATCAGGGGTTTGAGGACTGGTGGCTCCACCTATGCTGCCTAGCCACCTGCTACAGGGGTCCAAGAATAAGTGGTGTCCCCTAGTCCTTACAGCCAACAGAGTAGGGTGCTCATAGTCTGACTGCAAAACTCACTTACCTACTTGCTCTAGGGAACAGGGACACGCTTTCCTTTCAGACACTCGGGCAGCCATCAGTCCGCTGCCTTGCTCAGCACATGACCCCCTACTGCAGCCATATACCCGTGCCTACAACAATCACCCATGCCTTTCTAAGACTGTAGGTGAGACTGAAACACACACATGGTCACCAACTGCCTGGACACCTGAGCTGAATCCATACAGGAAAATTTAACGATCTCCTGGGCACACATAGTTACAGTCCTAACTACCTGGTGACAGGGCGTTAGAGCTTCAAAGTCATCAATAATCAAACTAACACACACAAGAAGCCTATTTGGACATATCAAAACAAAACAAGAAGCTAGGACACACTAAACAAATATAAAATTATAATAACTTATTGATGTCTCGGAGACAACAGTCAATATCAAATCATATGAAGAGGCAGTCCATGATGGCTTCAGCAAGCTCCCAAAATAATAAATTTTCTGGAGGAAGACAATTTCTTGGAATTACCAGAGACAGAATTCAAAAGATTAATATACAAAACTCTTCAAGAAATTAGAAAGGAAATCCTTCAAAACATAGAGACATCAATGGAACATACAGACAAAGCAGTAGCAGAACTTAAAAAGGTTATTCAAGAGCATAATGACAAATTTAATAGGCTACAAGAATCCATAGACAGCAATCAGAAATCCAGAAGATTAACGATAAAATTTCAGAATTAGACAACTCAGTAAAAGTCATAGGAGCAGAATTGAGGCAATGGAAGTCAGAATTAGTGAGACTGAAGACAAAGCACTTGACACCAACTTATTTGAGGAAAAATCAGATGAAAGGATTAAAAAAATGATGAAACCCTAAGAATTATATGGGACTCTATCAAGACGAATAACCTATGAGTGACTGGAGTATGAGAACAGGGGGAGGGGATAACAGAAAATACAGAGAGGATTGTGGAAGATTTGTTGTGCAGAAAACTTCCTTGATATCATGAAAGATGACAAGATATCTATCCAAGATGCTCATTGAAACCCACATAAGGTAGATCCCAAAAGAAAGTCACCAAGACATATTATAATTGAACTTACCAAAGCCAAAGATAAAGAGAGAATTTTAAAAGCAGCTAGGGATAAACGAAAAGTCATCAACAAGGGAGAGTCAATAAGAATAAGCTCGGACTACCCAGCAGAAACCATGCAGGCAAGAAGGCGATGGGATGACATATATAAAGCCTTGAAGGAAAAAAATTGCCAGTGAAGAATTATATTTCCAGCAAAACTGTCTCTCAAATATGATGGCAAAATTAGGGCATTTCCAGATAAACAGAAGTTTAGGGAATTTGCAAAAACCAAACCAAAATTACAAGAAATACTAAAGAATGTCCTCCAGTTAGAAAATAAATAACATCAGATAACAATGCAAGACTAGAACACAGGACAGAGCAACCAGATATCAACTCAGATAGAGAAGTCACAAAAATACTTGAAAGCTAAAACATTGAAAATAGAGAAACAGAGATATCAATATGTAAAAAATGACATTAAAATAAAAAAGGGGCTTAAAAAATGTAGACATAAATTTTTCATATAGAGGGGAAGCCAAGGAGATAAAAAGAAACAAAAGACTGGTATAAACTTAGAAAAATAGGGGTAAATACTAAGGCAACTACAAAGGAAACTAAGAATCCTACAAATCAAAATAAAAAACTAGAAAAATATAAAGACTCAGCAAACACAAAATCAACAACAATGAAAAAGCTGAAAA